TTTTTTTTTTTTTTGGTCAAGATTTTATGTAGGTAGGCCAGGTTGGCCTTGAACTGAAGATGAATTCTGATCTTCCAGAATCTACTTCCTAAAAGTTGGGATCCCAGGCATTTTGTGTGTGTGTGTGTGTGTGTGTGTGTGTGTGTGTGTGTGTGTGTAGTCCTGGCTGTCAGGGAACTCACTCTACAGACTAGCCTGCCTGTCTCTTCCTCCTGAATGCTGGGATTAAAGGCTAGACCACTGTTTTGTTTTTCTTGCAGTGCTGGGGCTCAAACCCAGAGCCTTGTGTATGCTAGACAAGACCTCTGCCACAGAGCTAACTGCCTATCCCAAGAAACACTGGCGATCACACTCTAATATACAGAGATTTGCCTGCCTCTACCTTCTGAATGCTGGAATTAAAGGCATGTGCTACCATCACCTGGCTCCAACAAACTTTTTGAGATTATCTTGGTGCTGGAGAGATGGTTTAAAGGAGAAGTCCTGAGTTCAATTCCCAGAAACCACATGGCTCACAACCACCTGTAATGACATCTGGTGCCCTCTTCTGGCTTGCAGGTGTACATGCAGATAGAACACTGTATACATAATAAATAATTCTTAAAAAAAAAAAAAAGAACGTATCTTGTGTTTTTCACCTGCCTCCCCACAGCAGTGATTGAGATTAGATATTTTTCTTCCTGTCTTTCTGTGTCCTAAGGGCTCACTTTGTAAATGAAGGCTCTTCTTCTCCCTGCAGGTGCAGCCAGCGTGGCCCGGGCCTGGAGCGCAGTTTTTGATGGCCTCGTAGGGAACCGGATCTCCCAAGCCCTGCAGACCAGCTTTCCTCTGCAAGTGCCCAGCTTCCTGGCCAAGTATCCAGACTTCTTTGCACTTGGACTGGTGCTAGTCCTTACTGGTGAGTAAGGATAGGCAGACGAGGGTCTGTGGATGTGTGTGGGAGGATGGTGGCTGTCAGAAGCTGTGAAATACAAGGCACAGGAGGGCAGAGGGAGGGAGGGTCTTCCCCCATATTGGGGACTGTTTCGAGTAGGAGGCTGGGTAACAGCATGCCTAGCTTTCACCACTGGATGTATGGGGTACACCCTCCCTCTGCCCCAGCCTTCTGCTGAGACCCACTGCTGTAAATTGGCTTCTACTTCTGTAATTACACTTATTTATATGTGTGTGTGGGGGTGCATGCATATGGAGGTCACAGGACAAACTGCAGATGCTGGTTCTCTCTATCATGTAAGGGCCTGGAGATAGAACTCAGATTGCCAGTCATCTTGGCAAACCTTTTTACCTGATAAGCCATTTTGCAAGCCTTTCTTCTGCATGAAGACCAAATTAAAAAAAAAAAAAAAACAACAAAAGAGCAGGGCTGGAAATATGGCTCAATAGTTAAGAGCACTGACTACCCTTCCAGAGGACCCAGGTTCAATTCCCAGTGCAGTGCCCACATGACAGCTCACAGCTCACAACTGTCTGTGACTCCAGTTCCAGGGGATCTGGCATCCTCACACAGATATACATGCAGGCAAAACACCAAGGCACATAAAAACAAATAAACTTAAAAAAAAAAAGACAAAAACTAGAGGGTCTCTCTGTCCTGGAACTCACTTTGTAGACCAGGCTGGCCCTGAACTCACAGAGATCCGCCTGTCTCTGCCTTTTGAGTGCTGGGATTAAAGGTGTGCGCCACCACCAGCCAGCAAGACCTCATTTCATGTGTTTGTGTTTTGCCTGTATCTGTGTATGTCACAGGTATCTACCTGGTGCCATGGTGCCAGTGAAGGAGGCTTCAAATCCCGGCATTGGAGTTATGGGTGGATTTGTAAGCCACCATATATACAAGAGCAGCCAGTACTCTTTTTTTTTTTTTAAATATTTATTTATTATGTATACAATATT